ACAGTACCAACAAAAACCTTATTTACTATACTTTTTGTGTACCCCCAATCTCAATGATCTGTATCCGCCTATGATTTTTGAAAATGCATATTTTTAGGATCCATGTGAATTCCTGGTTCATTCTCTATCGATCGGCAAAAGTTGCGTTAAGATTGGTTCAGAAACCTGGCCGTGATAAACAGTCTAAAATGTATCTGCAATTTGCCCGTTTTTACCCCCCTCTACCCCCTATTGACATTTTTTTTTTTTTTTTAGAAATGTAGATCTCGTGAGCCAAATCGAATGCCGTTTGAATTTTGAAAATCGGCCGGTTAGATCTCGAGATATCAAGGGGGGGGGTCGTAAACAGCCCCCCCCCCCTGCCACTAATATGGGGTAGCCAGGAGCCTGCCACTAATAGGGTTAAGCCATCACTGACTTGTGACTAATACACATTTTTAGAAAGCTTACTTTGTGGGCTTTCGTATTCCGGTGGGGCATTTTTCGAATATGTAACATATACAATGATATTATAAGTTAATTGAATAGATGCAATTATTTACTATTCAAATTATCGCTTGAAATACGGAATACCTATTTACAACGCGAGATGTACCATGAAATTAAGCTATACCTAACATGAAATGCATTTTCTTAAATTTTTAGTATAGTTTTCGTTCACACATAATATATCGTTACGAAATGATTTGAATTAATTAACATACGAGGGTCGTTCCAAAAGTAATGCCTCCTATTTTTTAACTCCGCCCCAAATGATCGGAGGGCGTTGAAATTTGCACCGTATCATGACTTTACCTTAACTCGCATGTCTTTAAATTTTCATTTCTCTATCACAGCTATTTACCGCGTGAGGCCTTGATAAACGAAGTTTGTCATGGAAACTCGTCAGAAGCAGAGATGCGTCATTGAATTCCTTCACAGGGAAGGGAATGCACCCATCGACATCCACCGACGCCTGCAGAAGGTCTATGGAGCAGACGCGGTGGATGAGAGCACAGTTAGGAGATGGGTGCGTCGTTTTGAGAGCGGTGAAAGTGATGTCAAAGAAAAAGCACGCTCCAGACGTCCGCGCACCGGGCGCCAGCAGGCAAAATGATGTGCACCGTCTTCTGGGACAGGCAATGTGTCATCCTCTTGGATTTCCTGGAACCAGGAGCGACTGTAAACTCTGACCGTTACGTTGAAACGTTGACAAAACTGAAGGCCCGGATAGCCCGAGTAAGGCCAGAAAAGAAGAAAAACATTCTGTTTGCAACATGACAACGCTAGGCCACACACGAGTCTGAAGACCACAGAATGTGTGGCAAAGTTCGGCTGGACATGCTGCCACACCCCCCTTATAGTCCTGAACTGGCACCCTCCGACTTCCACTTGTTCGCGCCTCTGAAGGACGGCTCACGTGGGCAGCGCTTCCCAGACAACGACGCCGTCATTGCCGCCGTGAAGAAAAGGACCACCTCGGCGGGCGCCGACTTTTACGAGCCAGCCATCAAGGCTCTCGTTCATTGCTAGCAAAAGTGCATTGAGAGTAGTGGTGACTACGTAGAAAAATAAACGTAGAACAAAAAAAGTATGTTCGTTTTAACCCGCGCCCTGCTGGGGGTCCTGGATTTCCACGCCCTGCTGGGGGGGGGGGTGTTTGAACACCCCCCCCTTCTAACTCGGCTCCTGGGCCACGTAGCGATACGCGGAAGGCGGCGTTCGAAAGAGCGTCAAAAATAATGACGAAATCACTTCGGTCAATTTTTTGGTCAGGGCAAAGGTCAGGTCACCAGAGGTCATTGAAGGCAAAATTTCGCCGATTTCCAGGTCTAATGTCGAAAATTTCCAAGAAGCCAACGCATAACTCGGGAACCAATAGAGCTACAGCGCCGCGGAAAAGCGCATTCGATAGCCCTATTAACGCCCTTTCTGAGTAGTTCTCTCAGATTTGACCTAACGTCAACGGTTTTGCCTGCAGGGGGCAAAAACTGCAAAAATAGCCGATTTTTTCGAAAACAGTTTTTCTGCAATAACTTTTGACCCAAGCCTTGTACGAGCTTACTTTTACCGCCATCGTGTTCCTCTCGTCAAGACGCATCGAATGAACTATAACTTGACCTTGAAGGGTCAACCTGAAAATTTGACCTCAGGTCAAGGTCATGACCTGACCGGAAAGGGTCATGTTGCATATCAGTCGATCCGTATCGTCGAGCTGAACACATCTAAGGCGTTTTCATCGCTCTAGAATGCCTCTATCAAAAGTTATTTGCGAAAAACTGTTAGATACCATTCGTGACCTGAGATGACCTCAGGGCATAAACAAGGGTCACGGACACCATTTTCAAGTTCAGTATGTCTAAAACACTTGTAATTCGGTGTTTGGGAGTGTTTATAATGTCTTTCATCCAAAAGAGGCTCATTTCAATTTTCTCCCGTTGACTTATAATGGGGAGGTCGCAAAATTGACCTGACCTTAGGTCATCGATATCAAAATTCTGAGATATACATTTTGTACATGCTATTGCCCTTAGCAATCGCTGAAAGTTTCAAAGCGATCGGTCACTCGGTGTAGCTATGACAGACATTGAAAGTTTTTATGAGGTGAGGTCACTTCAAGTGACCTGGTGACCTGACCTTGAATGACCTTGGTCTGAAATTTTCACAACATGTGTAGAATTGATGTATGATAAGGTGTACCAAAAACGGCGGCGCTCCGCGCCGCCGTTTTTGAGATATTCGCGAAAAACCACAAGGGGGGGTGTTCAAACACCCCCCCCCCCAGCAGGGCGCGGGTTAATGACGCCACCCCATCTTCCAATCTCATCAACTTTTTGAGTTAAAAAATAGGAGGCATTACTTTTGGAACGTCCCTAGTACGATCCGTGGCGATAGTTCCGACCGGCCGCCGATGGTTGCGCTGGTGTCGCTCCGGCATGGCCTTGGCTCCGGCCGCCGTTATGGCCGCGGGTCGCGGCCGCCGCCTAACGGTACTCGGACGCCACCGAGGGCAGAGCAGAGCTAGCAGAGCTTAGTGATCGGATAACAGCCATCGGCGAGGAAGTCATGGCGGTGAGCGTGGGTAAGTTTCGATAATCGGCGACAGTCACTCTTGTGCATGTCAGCGACAGTGTCCTTCTATGATAGTTTGCACGAATTTCCAGGTCAATTTTCGACAATTTAAGACAAACTGGCGCATATCTCAGGAACGGATAGAGCTACAGCTTTTGTTGTTATAGCCTACAACAGTTTTTCTACAATAACCTTTGACTCAAATTTTCCACATCAGTAGGCGGAACTATGGTCAAGCGTACCCATTTTCGGGAACGCATTTTCGTTCCCATGTTTGGGAACGATAAACCCAAATATGGGAACGCCATGTAGGAATTATTTAAAACAAGAAAAAGAACCGTTAAATGACGTCCAAAAAATATAAAACGATCGTGAACCGCCTGATATTTGTCTCAATATTGTTGGGAAAGAGTTTGATATTGTAAGGCCCATCGTAGTTTCAAATCGTTCCCCTATTTCTAAAGCAGTCCATCATCCGGGCCGCGAACCTAAATTTGGGAACGCTCTCGTACACTGGCGCTGCAAGCGTTCCTTATTATGGGAACGGCGTACCCAAAATTGGGAACGATTTCACCGACGCCTTTCAGGGGCTCTTTTCATTAACAAGCATCATGTCCAACGCCGCAAATTATTGTTAAGCAACAATCATCAGATGACCTTTCCGGCAAGACCGTCGCATGTTTCGCCCGGTCTTCTGCGCTTTTATTCCCGTCGATCTCGCAGCGGGCACGCCCCCCTCTGCAGGATTACGTAATTCACAACGCTCAGCGATGTTCAACAAGGTCTTCCATACCTATATCCACCGTCCGCGCCGAGGGTGGAGACATGTCAAGCACCTGTCTGCTTATCACCGATAGTTGACGAGCACAAGGAAGTATCCAAAAATGGGAACGCTGAATATGTTACACCCTCAAAACACCTAGTCCCATGGAAAATCTAGTTTTTTCCTTTCTTAATGAGTGTAAGTGGCAAAAGGCCTGGTAGGATGGGCACGAGGAATGATCGAAATCAGCATAAAAATTATAAATAAGCCACACAGAGCGACCTATATAAGAGAAATTCCCCCAAAACGATCATGCTTAGAAACACGGAAGACAAAAACCACGCTCATGACGCTCCTTATAAAACAATGCTAAACAGCTAGCATCCAAATAAAATGTCTTTCCGGGCTGATAAAATACAGCTGAATAATTTTAAACCACTGAAACTGAGTTTACAACAGTAGTTCGGTAAAATCACTGACGTTCCACGCGGTCGTGCGCCCCGAGACCAAAAGTCAACAGTATTACCTCGGGACTGTCCGCGTGTTCGCTTGCATATGTCAGCATCTGGTGTCGCTAGTATGAAACTTCATAACCAGGCGAAAATTCTTATACTTGACCTCAAAATGTAAAAAACGCTTCATTTTCCTTTAAATTGCATGTTAAATGTAGTATAACCCATGTTTTCACCATTCCGTCATTAAAAAAAAAATCATTAAAAATATCATTCGACGGTCAATTTCCTTGTTCAACGGTCAGATTAAAGATAATTTTATAGAGATTTAGTAGATACTTAAATTAGCGTGCACTTTTTTGAGACGTGATGCACTAATGAGTTTTAGTGGGCGAACGGCCGAAAAATTACCTTCCGTTCTCATAAATGGGAACGCCCGTTCCCATATTTGGGAACTCCGTTCCCAAAAATGGGAACGTTCCTATATTTGGGTACTCATGACCATAGTTCCACCTACTGACATGCTTAGGTACTTTTACCAGCATCGTGCCCTTCTCGTCGAGACGCATCTAATGAAATATAATTCATTTGACCTCACGTTAGCCCGCGCGGTGCTGAGGGGTTAATAATATATTATCCATTCCCCCCTCCAGGATTTTGCGATAACTTATAAACCACGTAAGCTATCAACAGTAAACTTCCAGTACCCTCTTTTGCATCAATTTGACACATGCTTTTGTATTTTTTTTTTGACGAAATTCGTCGGAAAGGTTTGAAAAAATGACAGTTCAATAGCGTCACTACAGGAGATTTCCGGCCAAAATAAGGAAAATACCTATTTAAACAGCAACTTCTCCTTTCATCTAATAAGCAATTCCAAATTTTTAAATATTACAGGGCGCACAATGTTGGGTTGTAAAAAATAACCACCCTAGATTCCCAAAATATGATTTTTTTTACCCTCACATTAAAAAAAAATATCGTGTTAGGTATTGAAAACAACTAAGATTAAAAAAAACATATTTTTTTCAAAAACTTTTAAGTTGTGTTTATGCATGCCTATGAATCAAATTCACTTAAATATGCCAAATTTCAAGTCAATCGGTTCAAAAATGGCTTTAATATCGTCCAAAATCTTCGTAGATGTCCATTGTCCATAGGTAATTTTTCAATTTCGTTTTTTGACCAAAGTTTCCGTCACAGAAAAAATGAAAATAACACCATTGAGCTCCCCGTAAATGTATGCATCGAAAGAGAAGGAAACTTTTTATGGCAGAAATCACTATTTTGAATGTTTCACCTCTGCTGACAGGAGCAAATAATCATGTCCTGACCTTTAAACTGACGTTAACCTCACATTTGGCCTTTTTAACCCGCGCCGGGCCGGGGGTGTCTGAACACCCCCCCCCCCTCTAACTCGGCTCCTGGGCCACGTAGCGATACGCGGTAAGCGGCACTCGAAAGAACGTCCAAAATAAGGACGAGAACACTTCAGTCATTTCATTTTTTTGGGTCAGGTCAAAGGTCAGGTCACCAGAGGTCACCAAAGGTAAAATGTTGGCTATTTCAACATTTTGAAAACTGCCAACGGCTAACTCGGGAACCGATAGAGCTACAGCGCCGCGAAAAAGCGCATTCGATAGCTCGTTTAACGCTCTTTCGCCAACATTCCTTCAGATTCGACCTCAGGTAAACGGTTTAGCCTCCAGAGGGCAAAAAAAAAAAAACAAAAATAGACGTTTTTACGAAAAGTGTTTTTCGGCAATAACTTTAGACTCAAAAGAGCCACGACATTACTTTTGCCAGCATCGTGTTCCTCTCGTCGAGACGCTTCGTATGAACTGTAATTTGACCTTGAAAGGTCAACTTGAAAATTTGACCCCAGGTCAAGGTCATGACCTGACCGGAAAAGGTCATGTTGCATATCACTCGATCCGCTTCGTCGAGCCGAACACATCTAAGGCGTTTTCATCGCTCTTGTATGCCTCTATCAGAGGTTATTAGCGAAAAATTGTTAGATATTAGGTATTCGTGACCTGAGATGACCTCGGGGACATAACGAGGGGTCAGAACTCAGAGGTGCCATTTTCCTGTTCAGTGTGTCAATTTTGCCTGCATCCCGATGCTTCAGAGTGTCTTGAATGGCGTTCGTGCACAATAGACGCTTTTCAATTTTCTCCCATTGACTCCTGTAATGGAGAGGCCGCAAAATTGATCTGACCTGAGGTCATCGATATCAGAATTCCGAGATATACGTTTTATAGATACTGCTACTCTTATCAATCGCTGAAAGTTTCAAGGCAATCGTTCAGTCGGGGTAACTATGAGGAGCAATCTAATTTTTCTGAGGTGAGGTCACTTGGCGTGACATGGTGACCTGACCTTGAGCGACCTGGGTCTGAACTTTTCACAACATGTGCGGAAAAGATGCAAAAACAGGTGTGCCAAAAACGGCGGCGCTATAGATATGTGCGAAAAAAACCGCAGGTGTGTGTGTTCAAACACCCCCCCCCCCCTCAGCCCGGCGGCTAGAAAGACACGGTAAAAAGCAGTCGATAGCTCTCGATGCGTACGCTCGAAAGGATTTCATCTAAAGCAATATTGGGGTCACCAGAGGTCAAAATTTGCCAATTATCATTATATTTTTCAGAAAACATGCCACCAGTAAAACGCCTTTTGGGCGAAGAACGAGCGAGCGAGATAGTGAGCCCTGCACGTGCGGAAGGGCGAGAGGGTGCTTCCAACGGGCTTGTGCAAAGCACCCTTCTAACCGGTCGTTTGCGGTGTGCCAAATTTGAACGCAATCGGCCCAGCCGTTCCTGAGATCTGGAAGCAGCATTCTGCACGTGCGCATGTGCAAACGGGGTCCAAAATGACTTTTGCACGGCACCCTACTAACTGGTCCCCAGCCGTGTACCAAATTTGAGCACAATCGGCCCAGCCGTTCTCGAGATCTGGAAACGCCCCCTGCACGTGCGCACGTGCAGTAGCACCCTAACCGCAACACATGGGAATGCAATGCCTGGTGGGTGCATACCTGTATGCCAAGTTTTAGCGAAATCGCCCCAGTAATTACCGAGTTACTGAAATGGGAACAAATTTGGCACCTCTTATTGTTGTATTTTGCACGTGCACTGGGGGTGACCCACATACATCGAGGGTATCCTATTTTGGGTAGAAGGGATGCTGCTACCCTACAAAAATTACCGCAAGTCAATCGCCCAAGCGGCTGCTGAGATATGAGCCTCTCAAAATCACTACTTTTGCAAAACAGCTTGAAAACCCCTGACTTTTCACGTGGCACGTGCCACGACGGTCACTGAGATGTATCAAAAGTAGTCAATTACGGGGTAGAAGGGATGGGGCTACCCAACAAAAAACTAGGACATTTCTATTGCCAGAAACGTGTTCCTCTTGCTGAGACGCGTCGAATGAACTATAATTTGACCTTGAAAGGTCTACTTCAAAATTTGACCTAAGGTCAAGTCATGACTTGATCGGGAAAGGTCATGTTGCATATCAGTCGATGCGTCTCGGCAAGACAAACACAATGAGGCCAACCCCAGCGTTCTATCTTTTTCCATTCGAGAGTTATTGGCAAAAAGCTGTTTGTAGCCTCAAATGACTTCGGATGACCTTTCTAGAGGCTATCAGCAAAAAAGGCACCTTGGTTGTCACGGGTGGTCCAAATTATTGTGATTCTGAAATATTTGGACTGTTCCTATGCGTACACACGGATCTAGAGGCATTTTCGTTTTTCTCCATTGACTTATAATGGAAAGGTCACGGCACTAACCTGACCTTAGGTCACGCATATAAAAAATCCGAGATATAGAATTGTAGGCACCCATAACATCATGCAATCCACCAACCCTCGCACGACCAGGCCATTTCTCATAACACGAACGACCAGGGGGGGGGGGTTGTTACGACCCCCCCCCTGGCGTTTCGAAACGGAAGGTCGTAGAGCTTAGCGGAAAAAAACCAACGGATTGCTCTCAACGAGATCTCGCGATTGGTGGTATATTTTGTGGTCCTAGGTCAACATTTGACCTACTTTTGACCGGTCAAAGGTCAAATTTTCGGAAAAATAGACTTTTTTCAACTTTCCGCGGCGATTGCGGCAAAACGGTGGGAGATATCGACTTGAAACCTTCACTATCGTGTTCCTTGATCAATTCTCTATCGTTTGGTATGTATTTCGTTTCCCTAGCTCTAAAAATGGCGCGTTGGGAGCGCCGGAAGTCGGCAAGGTCACAGTCGGCGGCAGAAATTCGAAAAATCAAAATTTAAATTTTTGAAATCTGATTGTATTTTTGGATTTGGAAGGTCCATTTGCTCCTTATAGAAGCTAATATTGCTGCATATTCCCATTGAGGTGACAAGAATTAGCAAAATAGTGGTTCGGGCGCTTTTCAAAAATAGTACCGGACGCTGTTCCTCTTATGACGTCATAACTCCGTGACCTGACCTGACCCGGTCAATTTTCTTGCACCACACGATAGCCAATGCTTGCCCCAACATGCATGGGAAGTTTCATCATGATCCATCAAACAATGTGGGTATCACCGGCAGAAAACCTAGGGATTCGGCGCACACGTTTGGTAACTGTCGGCCGGAGGCTGTACCTCTTATGACGTCATAACTCCGTGACCTGACATGACCCGATCAATTTTTTTTCGGCAAAAGATGCGCAAAGGTTGCCCCAGAGGGTATTGGAAATTTCAGCCCGCTACGACAAGCCGTTTAGCGTGCACTTCGAAAAACCTCAGGGGGGGGGGTTGATTCAACCCCCCCTAGGCGTTCTAGGGTTAAAACCTCTCTGACAAACACTGCAGGCTGGACATGATTGCAAACTTTTTTAGGCTTGGTCAGTTAACTTGACCTGGTGAGTGGTGACCTGACCTGACATGACCTTAGGTCAAAAATTTCACACATAATTGATGTGCAAAAAGCTACCCTAAGCGGCGCGGCGCTACGCGCCGCGGTTTTTTATTCACACGCAAAAAACGCGACAGGGTGGTAACATATGCCCCCCCCCCCCCCACTGGGGCGAAGGTTAAGAACATTTCAAGCACTCACCTGAACCTCCTCCTCGTTACGAGCTTTCGATTGCCGCCTACGGTGTATTTCTACGGCCCTTAGTTTTTGAGTTAGCAGGGGGTTGTAAATAATTACCCCTCCCTCAGCGCCGCGCGTTCGGCTGGAGATCTCCAGTGCCGCGCGGGTTAAGGTCATGACCTGACCAGAAAAGGTTGTGTTACACCTAGCAGTTGATCCGTATCGTCGAGCTGAACACATCTAAGGTGTTTTCCTCGCTCTAGTATGTCTTCATAAGGTATTAGCGAACAACTGTTGCATAGCTTTCGTGACCTGAGATGATCTCAAGGACACAAGGAGGGGTCACAGGTGCCATGTTCCGGTTCATCGTGCCATTACTTAGTAAATCGGTGTTTGAGAGAGCTAGAATGACGTTCGTACAAAAACTTGCGTTTCATTTTTCTCCCATTGACTTAAAAAATGGGAGGTCACAAAATTGATCTGACCTTAGGCCGTCGATATCAAAATTATGTGATATAGATTTTGTACGTGCTGTTGCCCTTATCAGTTGCTGAAAGTATCAAAGTGATCCGTCACTCGGTCACCGGCAGGGCGCGGGTTAAGCCTCGCTGGCAGAGGGGTGGGCGGGCCCCCATGTTTTTTTTTTTGCGATAGCTCCAAACACGCCGGCGACAGAAAGCTGAAACTTTGCATGCCTGACCTTTGATCCAAGCTACACCTTGTGACACCAGCCTCATTTTCAGGTCAGGTCACTAACCTATGACGTCATAAGTGAACCTCTGCACGGTCCTCAGATGTCGCAACTTCGCAACGCCCTCAGTGCCAGGAGAAATTATACAAGGAGATGGATGTAGTATCTTCCAGAGTTCTCACAACTTTTGTATCTCAGATTTTTTCCTTAAGGTCACATGGGGTTAGGTCGGTCACGTGACTCCACTACTACCTATAAGTCAACGCGGAAAAATGAAAACTGTTATTTTAGCGCCGGGAACGATCTCAAACTACATCAAGCACACTGAATCGTGATTTCTTGCACAACGATGCTTAACTTTTGCATTGTTGACCTTGCGTGACGTCATTAATGACGTCACTTGGGTCATTAGTTTTTCATCTATACTTCCCGATCAAATTGAGCTAGGGACTCGGAAAGCCACCAATAGACTCGGGAAGACCTACCGAATCGAATGATATGCGACATGACCTCCGGTCAACATCTGAATTTGACCTCATTCAAACAAAAATTATACTACCTATTCGACGCACCTGAGCGAGGCGAACACGATAATGCCAAAATCGCTGCTCTGCGACCGTTCTTTTTTTTTGGGGGGGGGGGGGTGAAGTTATTTTCTTAAATACTGAACCCGTGCCTTGGGTCACTTAACCTGACCTCAAAGGTCACCAGTTGACCTGAGACCTTAAAATCGGGTACCAGTCGCTGCGTCTCATAAGTCATAACGGCGCACACGCTCGTGTTTTTCCGTGACGCTCTATCTCCATCAGGGGCGAAACGGCGAGAGGGGTCGTACCAGCCCCCCCCCCCCCCACTCGGCCGGCGCGTATGTAGATAGCCAAAAGGTCCGGCGAGGGCTAATTTAAAAGCTTAGGAAAAACACGTAGAGCAGCAAATAGGTAACTCTAAAGAACAGCTAAATAATTGATTCTAAAGAATAAGATAGCACAATGTGATAACGGCAAACGTACAGTATTTTGTTAACTTTGTTGAGGAAAAAATATACATATGTAGAGATGAACTTCCAATGACTTTATTAGTCGTTAGGCTCAGCCTCATGTGAACGGTTGCTAATGATAAGTGAATAATCTTCTAATAGACTATCGACCCTCGACAGATCATGAAACTCAGTCTTAGTCTGAGCAACTGTGTAGTGTGTGCCACTGCCTACCAATAGTTTCATAAAATGCCAATGCCTACCGTCTTTGTTACCGCCTTTAGTATAGGGATGCTCTCTGGATGCGTTACAGGTCGACACCACGTTCTGGACTTGCTGGTCACTCTCATCCTTGTGGCATGGATGACATCTTCTGGGGTAATAGGTGAGTTAACTAGCATTGCCACGTCGTTCAAATTCATGCTAAAAAATAAATAAATAAAAAGTGCTGTAAAAAAGGCTTAAAATATTTCTTCTTAAGGAGCTTTTTGGCAGTCACGCTAATCACATGCGAGACCCTGACTGCCGATCTAGTTTTTTCAGCCCGCAGATAAAAAGCGTTTGTGTTTTGTGGGTATGTAGAACTGTCTGGGCACAATGTCTGCAAAAGTATCCACAGTCAGGATTGAGAAGTGAGGGGAGAGGGAGGAAAACTGCCACAATCGATGGAATAACAGTGTCTGTACAGTGCACGTACATTTTTTCCATAATGCTATGCATAGACGTAATGTCGAAATTCAAGTTAAAACTGTGTCATGCCTGGGTCATGTATGATCACATCCTTCAGCGGTCAGGGTGCGTCCGACAGTCGACACTTCATATGGTGTTTGACTCTGACGCTACCCCCACTCCCTTTGTCGGTTGTCACCTCGTCGTGAAGTCTTTCCCCATTTCACAGACATCCGCCGGCTCCACATGCGAGCGGACGTGCCTGCCGACAGTCCTGTCCTGGTGGACTGGGTGAGGTCGCGACTGTGGCCTCCCAGCTCCCTTCCCTACAGCCTGACCAAGCCAGACGATGAGTGCTGGGGACAGGCGGAGCAGATACGAGTTGTGCAGGCGCTCACGCGAAACAAGGTACGATACCTTCCGTGCCGTCCTGCCTTCCGAGAATTGAGAAGGGAGGGATATCAAGGCGAGCGAGCTAGGTTCAGTCTGTCGTGGAAGATAAATGTTGCGTACTATGCACACAAAAATGAAACAGATGCACAATGTTAACACTCACAATGTATTGGTGTTTTGCCAGCCGCGAACGCATGGAGTGGGGGGGGGGGGGAGAAGTCCGTTGGACCCCTCCCCTTGACGTTTGGCCCCTGATCGAGCTAGCGGAAAAAAACGAGCGTGTTGCCCGTGACGAGAGGAGGCCGCTGATACCAAAATTTTAAGGTTCTAGGTCATTGGTTGACCTTCCAGGTCAGGTCAATGACCCAAAAGTCGGGAAAATTGGGACTTATCAGAACTTCGTAAAGTGAGGTTGTAACGGGGGTTTTCGGGGTGCTGATCAGAAATTTTCATGTTATTTTTTATCACTGATAATGTATTGATGCATTTGGGCCAGGTCAGGTCAGGTCAGGTCAGGTCAACCAGTAGGCGTCCTGCCGAGGTGTAGTAGGTGTCAACAACCTCTGACAGCTTCGTATAATACGAAGGCACGAAAACTACTTCGTAACTGTTGAAATGGTTGCTAAATTCGAAATCAGCTCTATTAAACCGCGCCCCGTAGGGGGGGGGGAGGGACGAAACGGCCCCTGTCCTTTTCCGTCGATATTTCCTAAACGGCTGGAGATATCGCCACCAAACTTTCAGGACCCCTCTGGGCATCCATTTTACACATTGTAACTAAAGATTTTTCCAGAGGCTATGATAGGTTGGCCACAAATGACGTCAGAATGACGTCATGTTCTGCCATTTTCGACCGAAAAAAGACCTTCGCGAGAAGAGCTGTCAGGCCTACAGCTTTGAAGATACAGAAAAATGATCAAGACACAAAAGGTGTAGAATTGACAGGGCTACAAAACTGCTATCTCGGATTTTTGAAATTTTCGAGTTTTGACCCACAAAAATCAAAAATGCAATTTTTTGGAAATATTAGCCAAAAAATCCAAAAAGTTTTTTGAGTTTTGACAAAAACTTAATATATGTCATAGTAACTACCGTCTTCTATCTACATACCAAATTTCAGATCGATATCTTCTTGTTTAGCCAAGTTATAGCGAAAAAACTGTTCAAAAATGATGACGTCAAATTTTCAAACTCAATTTTTTGGCAATTCTAGACCACGTAGGGCAAAACAAAAACCACCATTAGACTCCCCGTGACGAGCTGCATCGAATGGATACCCATTTTATGCAAAAATATCAACTTTGAAATTTGACCTAATTTGACCTGACCTTGACCTGACCTTCACCGGAACATAATCTAACCTGACCCCAAGGGCTGCCTGACCCACATAATCGCATTTGTCATGTAAAATGGACCATAAAACATGTATCACACGACACTTTCATATTGTGACCCCCAGTGACCTGACCTCTGTGACCTGACCTGGTATCAGTGACCTCAGATAGCGAAGTATGTGTTTGACGAACAATGTATCATAGATGGTTTTCAATAACTTACCAATTTACTCGATTTCACAACACATTTCTTGAAATGCCTGTGAACGGTGAAAATCTGACCTTTGACCTGACCTGTGACGTCATCGGTTTGACCTAGGTCAATGAAATTCGGTCACAAGGTAGTTCCCCGGTGGGGCTATCGAACGCTGTTTGAATTTTGAAAATCGGCCGGTAAATTTCCGAGATCTTAGGGGGACCCTACCCCCCTACGGGTGGTAGGGTCCGCCGGCAGCCCTACGGAGCGCGGGTTAACTTGAGCCTAGAAACATGTAAAACTCGAAAAGTGAACCCAGGTCATCAAAGGTGAATGACCTGACCTGACCTTTACGTGACCTTGACATCCATCATATTGCATGGGACCAACATCATTTCACATGTTTGAACGTTTACTACCACAAAAAGACTGCAAACGCGCAGATAATGTGAGCCGACATACATACGCCGAATCGCGATTCCGGCCAAACATGGTCCCGAGAAATAGGTCACAGGTCAAAGATCATTTGAGTCAGGGTCATGAAATTGTCAGGGTATGTGTAAAATTGATCAACTCAGGGGTAAGGAAAGTTTCGTTGCGATCGGCCGCTTTTTACGCTGTAAATGACGTCACTGGAACCGGGCCAATTTGGTGACCTCAAGTGTCCCTCTGACCGCAGACTGGCGGCTTTTTCATCGAGTCGGGAGCGCTGGACGGAGAGCGTCTCTCCAACACGCTCGTCCTGGAGCGTCGGTTCGGCTGGACGGGTCTGCTGGTGGAGCCGGCCGAGAGCAACTTCCAGCGGCTGGTCTCCAAACGGCGCCGGGCCTGGGCACTGCAGGCCTGTCTCAGCCACACGGCGGGACCGTTCACGGTGAGAGGGGAGAGGCGATGGGAGAGGACGGGAGAGGAGGAGAGAGGGAGGAAGAAAACTTAAAGGGACCATCCCACCTTAACATTAGTTTTGAGTTGAGATAGCCAAGTTTGCGGCCAGGCTCAGAAACCACCATTTATCCTGGTCGCAACCCCCGCAGCTTTATGGTGTTCAAGAAATTTCTTCCCTTTACTTGCAGGGTGGGACCAGCTTAGTCCCTATCTCTTAACCATTAGCGGTTTGTTGATGACGTCAGCAGTCATTTCAACGCCCGCCATTCCTTGAACCCGAGTTTTGCTGACCTTGAGCTCCCTTTTTTATCAACGTGAAATCCGTCGTCGGCGCTGAGAAAGCCTATTGCTTTTCATTTTAATTTGAATATTAGAAGATACCCACCACTGGAACTTGGACTGATATTATACCAAGGCCGAAGATGATCAAGCTGCCTGCTATATCTGGAGCTTGGTGTTCAACTTCAACATGGAATGAAAAACAAAATATCAAAGAAAACTGGATATGGTACTGCAAGTTTAAGTCCAAATAAATTTGAAGAGCTGACAATTGACATTAATTCTTTTCCCGCAAGGTTCCCATAGGAGATCACACTATGAAGAAATATTTTTGATGTTAACAGTTGAAAGGGGATTGATCTTCCAGTTTTGACGAAAGACGCTGCTGACTGACGGTCTTTGGAAAAGGATGTCGGCATGAGGTGCAATTGTGCTTGTGAAGTGGTTATAACTGGTCTTTTCACAGTGTTAAATTAAATGTGCCATTGCAGCCAAGTGTGTTATCATGTAAGGTAAAATCAAGGTAAAATCAAAACTACAATGTTGGTTTTACGAGCATTGAGAAGGCTGGTAGGTAACACCTGCCTGTGCTCGTAAATCATGCTGCCAAAGTATTCTAAATTAATTTTATCATACACTTTTGTTGTCCAGAATGGTTGCACTATTGTTTGGTATCATATTATTCCATGTACATATGGTAGTGTTAAGTCCGACCAACATGTTACCAGATTTGAAGCTGTTACGTTACCTAAGTACCTACCTGTTTTTTTTTTTACTGGCGTGGTGAATGTCACCTGGATTTTGTTTTGAGGTGCAGACCTAGTAACTCTGACTACATGGGTTTGAAGCTATTATCTATTCTGTTTTTACTGGCCTGGTGAATGGCGACTGATGTTGTCCGTGGATGGCACTGAAACAAATTTTGAGTGTCAACTGCCATGTACAGTGTTTTAATACAATGCTGAGGGCTGAAAGTTGTCTTGTTTAGAGTGGTGAAAGTTCAGGATATGCCAGCTACCATGGTGGGTCAGAGTTAATGTGTTGCAGTCAGTTCGGCTTCGGCAAGCACACGGATGGGCATACGCATCAAGACCTGCTCTGCCATACTTTCAGCCAATTTTACCTAGGCAAGTCTTTTCTTTTTTTCTGCCAAAAGCTATGACATTGTGAATTTCAGTGCTGTGGCCTGTGTGTAGCTTTCAGGAAAGCAATTCTAAATAAAGCTCTGATAAAGTGCATGAAATCAGCAATGCAGCCCTCTATTACATTTTCTACAACATCTTACTTGTTCCTTGCATGGAGAGAAAAATGCAATGTTATGAATTCGTTTATTCACATAATTTGACAAGCATGCAGTTACCTGCTACTATCACTGCACAAAACAGAGCAGAAAACATCAGTTGATCAAACACAAGACACAACAGAAGTTTACAACATAGGCCTGCCGAACCTGCTTCCTCCCACCACAGTTGATGCCATTTCCTAGCCTGGCTTGATGTGAGCACTGAATAGCTGCTTTGTCTAATTACAGCTCACTACCATTCAACTTAAACTACTCTCTTTAAAGTAAGAGTGAGAGCGTTCAGTGTTCATAGCAGCTCGACAGACGACAGACAACAAACATCTTGACAAACCAACCAGTATTTGATTTGGCTAATGATTTATGTGCCTGTTGTATCATGGCCAAACTACTTTAACAGCAATAATCCCTGTTTCATCTTGATCTTGCTTTTAATTCCATTTGAACTCTCAGATCTTGAAACAATCATCTGAAGTGATATCAGATACTGGCTTCTGTTTCTCTTGAAAGCAAGTTAAAACAATGATAAACTAAGGCAGGAGATGTGAGTTGTAGCAGTAGATTTTTGATTCAACATATGTCAACCTTATATTGCTTGAGACCTCTGTGACAGACAAACAAATATTTATAGTTTTTTGATAGTTTGGATTCTTGGCTTGATTTAGCAGATCAGCTGTGAACCTTGACTTTGAAATCACATAAATGTCATGGTACCCGAACGAATCCTCGCATGACATTTCTTCGTCCGCATTTCTTCGTCTACAAATCTTCGTCGGTGCATTTATTTGTCCATCAATGCTTACTCTTGCATATATTTGCGTTGAAGAAGAAATGCGAGCCGATTTTCATATACCCTGATGCGAGACAAAGTAATGCGATACGAATAAATGCCCTGACGAAGATTTGCAGACGAAGAATTGCGATACGAAACAATGCCATAAGAAGAATTGTCCTGGAATCCTTTGTTGGCCATCATATATTGACCTTGATAAGATAAACGCATCATTCGCGCTATATTTGTCGCACTTTGATACCAAATTATTGCTTCCAAATCCCGACGTAAAGAAAACCTTTATGTGACGTCATAGAAACAGCGGAGTTCCCAAAAAGTAAACAAAAATAAAAGTCTTATATCTCGAAAACGGTTGAATATTTTCCGGTAAAATTTGGTAGATGTTCATTTTCGCTCTTTGTGATTCACGCTACATCACTTTTATGCCAATTCATTAACTTTTTTGAAGGTGGGAGGGTCCCTTTAAAGGAAATAGTTCACTTTTAACATGGGGTTTTGAGCTGGAATAGCAGTTTCGTAGCTTGAGCTGAGACTAGCACAAATCAGAAGCTTTTACGGCTCAACGATCACCCTAGACGAAGATATTCCATTTCTCGTTCCGAAAAGAGTGCCTTGTAGAGGAATGCGTGCCTTGCACAGGAATGCAGCCACGTCATCGTCAGCCAATCAGCGTGCTGCTTACAGCCAATGCAGTATGCGTAGGTTTGAGCTACGCAATATGATTGGTCAATGCGTAATAAGCTTCCGCGTCAAACATTATTTTACATAGAATGTAGTTCGTCCTATATTAAAATATAGAAAATAATTGTTTTTACAAAAAGGTTTTATTTTATTTCATGATTATTTTGAGCATAAAAAATCATAAATCAATAGCAAAATACTGATTTCAGGAAAGTGGACTGTTTCCTTTAAGGGACGGAGCTAGATGGGTAAAAGCGATGGGAGGAAAGGGGAGTGTGGATTTTAAGTCTTAAATTGTACCCTGGTTTATAAATTGCTGCCTTTCTGATGTCTACGGCAATATGCCTCTTTGCTGCTTCCTATAACCATGCTCAAAACCTGTCTTTGATCAAACCCTAACCTACCCTAACCTGACCTGTGTTTACAGACGGTTTTTCACATGACTTCACGCGGTGAATCGGGTACTGTCGAAGACGGTCTCACAGCTGACCGTCTACGAAGCCAGGAACAGAACGTAGTCAACACTGCTCGTCCACCGCGCCAGCACCGCGCCACCTGCGTACCAATCGCCGCCGTGCTGCGAGCGCTCAACCGCACGTCAGTGGACTTTTTCAGCCTGGACATCGAGGGCCCCGAGATGGGCGTGCTAGCTCACATTCCCTGGAACGAGCTGGACATCAAGGTGAGGGAGATGAACATGAGCAAATGATCCCGGAAATCGAACAGTGGCGCTCACTTTATTGACACATATTTCTAGTTATTTTGGGGGGCTGTGAGCGACGGAAACTTTGGCACCCGGCTGGTGTATAAAAAAAGTTTTTTATTGGGGTTTTAGGACTACAAACGGCATAGCAGAATAGCTGTCCATTTCTTCTACTTTTCATGACGTTGCCCCGTGTTAAGCTCAGCGGCTCATTGGCATTTATTGGAATAAGATCGTACATATTAGCGCTGTATATATTAGCGCTGAATAAGCCGGCACAGTTCAGCACCGTTTCCGCTGTTCCTGCTAAATGCCTAACTCAACGTGTAACATTTGGTCGTTTTCGCAGATATTACTAGTGGAGAACCTGCTGCTCTTCTCGTACAATCCGCAAATGGACCAGATGCGTGATCTGATGGAGTCGCAGGGCTACATCGCCATGCGACTGGCAATCGACTGGGTCTTCGTAAAGCGCAACAGCGAGTACAGCAAGAATGCTGAGGAGATAATCAGACAAACTCGTCGGGAAATATTGCGTAAAACTGAAAATATTTATTTTCCATTTAACGATTGAAGTATTTTCAGTAAAAGTGCTTTCCAACTTCCCAAGCTGTATGCGTATGCGTATGTGAGAGAGAGAGAGAGAGAGAGAGAGAGAGAGAGAGAGAGAGAGAGAGAGAGAGAGAGAGAGAGAGAGAGAGAGAGAGAGAGAGAGAGAGAGAGAGAGAGAGAGAGAGAGAGAGGAGAGAGAGAAGACAGAGATAAGCAGGGATAAGACAGGAGAGAAGAGAAAGACAGCCAGATACAGACAGAGGCAGCCACTCAGGGAGACGGACGCAAGACCGATGAGGTATCTGGTTGTTGCAATACGCTGTTTTAGAGAGAAATTTATAAGCTTCTTTCTTTCGGAAAATGTCAGTTGTGCTATGCTCAATGGCGATAATCGGTTATGCTTACCTATGCTGACTGTTAAGGTACCTATTAGTTATGATATTGTTTGTTGTTCAGGGACATATTGTGTTTTTTTTTTTAACACACGACTTGTTGGTGTGCGCAGCGATCATCTAAAGTGAATCAAAATACAACTGTCCAGTGCGCATTTTTTTATACAACTGATAGCTTTTATCAATATTACAGTGTGGTCCGTCATCCTCATGATAGATTTCGAACTTAAGGACGGAAGCTGTTATACAGAAGTGATTACTGATAGTCAAATTTTTACGAGCACAATGGGCATTGTTAAATAAAATTAGACAAAATAGCAGCCTGCTAAATATGTGGAATCCATGGTTGGCTGTGCCAAGCTGTATTGTATTGTATTGTATTGACAATTAAAACACTCTCCGATACAATACCGGCTATTCTGAGCGTCGCGTCACTTGTGTTAATAAAAGGGAGAGAACATGTTAAAATCGACGCATGAAACAATCACATCTCAACCACACAAAAACTAATCAAAATCACATAAAACTACCTATCCACCGCATAGATAGATCATGATACCTGTAAAAATGACGCTTTAAAGGGACTATCCCACCTTCTAAAATGTTGTTAAAACCAGTTAAATTGTGCCCGACTTTATAGATTGGATGACCAGGAACACGGTTCTGGCATTTATTTTTCATTAAACATCTTAGGCTTCCCATATTCCAAACACAAACTTTCAAATATGTGACGTCACAGCCCAAAATTATCTCCTTCCCCAGGCCACATTACTGTCATAAAGCTGATTCTTTTTACTCTGTAGGCACCACAACAAAGTTCAGACCAAGTTTTAAGCGATTTTTCAACGAACAAACCCATTTAAATCAGAATGACTAAACGAGGTGACGTCACACTAACGGTCGCTCCATGTTGAAGATAGGGCCTTGTACAAGGCCCATTTTCAAATGAAGGGAACGAATTTCTTCAACACCAAGAGGCCGCGGGGGTTGCAACCTAGATAGATAGTGGTTTCTGAACCTCGCCGCAAACTTGGCTATCTCAACTCAAACCCCATGTTAAAGGTGGGATAGTCCCTTTAAACGTGGCGTTTAAAAGCAGATACAGACATGTCGCGGAGATCAGGTGACAGAGTTGTAGAGGCGGACTACATGAAACAGGAAGCGGCGCTTGCCTGCGTTAGTTCTCATGCGCGGGAGGGCCAGGGCAGCGTCCTGTCGGGTGGATCTAGAGCGGAGCTCATGGTTTGCTGAAAGGTGGGAAGCGATATCCTGAGGTTCTGCGGTATGACGAATATTGTGAAGTATATTGAGACATTGTGATTCATACAGCTGACGGGCCGTGAGCCAGCCTAGTTCCTCTCACACGTCCGATATGTGCTTAAATTTACGCCGACCTGAAACAGCGCGCAGACAAAAATTCAAAACTTTATGGAGGCGCTGCATGTTGGTTTCAGAGCCGTTTCCAAAGACCGCCAGACAGTAACGGACGTGCGAGAGAACCAGGGCGTCGACTATGATGGGGAGAAGTGACGAGGGGATCTGATGGCGCACGTGAGACAGGGCGATGAGGATGCCGTTGCACTTTTTGACGCGGACAGATACATGCGAGTCCCACGTGAGATACTTGTCGAACACGACGCCAAGGTTGCTCACAGTGGGGCTCTCATGCAATATGTCCTCGCGGAACCGAATGGTGATCGGGGGCCGGGGCCATGCCGCGACAATTTTGACGGGAACCACAGACCATGAACTCTGTTTTTCCGGTGTTTACTTTCAGACCATGGGAGAGGAACCAAGCATCCAGAGAAGATAGGGTCTGTTCCATAATAGTAATGAGCTGTGGGAGGGAGTGTTTTTGCCTGAGACCAAAATTTGGGTATCGTCAGCGTACTGTAGGTACCACGTGCGCCTGAGGTGCATGCACGGATAAGTCATTGGAAAAGATCTGGAACAGGAGTGGGCCGAGCGAGGATCCCTGAAAAATGCCGATAGGATTGGGAAGGGATCGGGATAGGTGGTGGTTACCGCGCCCGTCAGCTGTAAGAACAGATTGAGTGTGGCCAAAAAGGTAGGCAGAAAACCAAGTAGGATCAATGGAGTAGGTTTGAAGCTTTGAGAGGAGCTTGACGTGACTGATTACGTCGAAGCACTTAGAAAGGTCCAGGAGACAGAGGAGAGTGATGTCTTGACAGTCGGTAGCGGAAAGGATGTGGTCGGATACGATACGATGAGAAGCGCGGTTTTGGTGGAATGGTTTGAGCGAAAACCGTGCTGGGAAGAGGAAAACAAATGATTGTCGCTCATGTAAGAGCAGAGTTGCCGTTGAACAACTTTCTCTACAAGTTTGGGAACAATTTACTACCCCACCTCACAATTTATTAAACATTTTATAAAATGGCCAACGTCACCGAAATACTGAAAACTATTGGCAATGGACAAAATGCATGAAGCTTGTGTGCATTTGCGCTTTTTCCCTCTTCAATTCTTACTATACCTAACAATTGCAGTTCCTATATAGGTACATGTAAATTGTAGTCAAGCACTGTAGTCAAGCTGGACCATTTCACACATCTCTCGGTATCCTGGGTTCCCCCACGGAACGTTGCGCCATCCCCGTTCGTCCTGCGTCAGTTTCGTCTATTTCCAATGTCGGTGCCACCCTACCCTCCGACTGCGGTCTCTGGGCGACCCCGGAGGTGTTTGTTCCATCTCTTCCATCTCCTTCCCCTCGGCAGGTGATCCGGTTCCACGGGATCTCCGCCTGATCCGCCCCGAGAAGACGAGTCGCTGAGAATAGCCCCGCGTCATGTTCACCCTTCCTGGGAGCGGGCCCGGCGGTACGGGTCAGTGCGGCGGCCCTGGCAGTTCTGTCGAACACCGAGACGAACATCAGGGGGAGGGATCATGACCAGCGTTCCTTCGGCGTGAACAAGATGCCTGCGAGGACCACGAGCTGATGAGTGATGGACATGTTTTCGGTGCCGAGCGGATGAAGTTCACGGTTCTCGACGAGAGGAGCGGCCGCCCCTGCAGGGTAGGGGAGCCACCCAGGGCGGAGCGAGGTGCTCTGAGGTCGCCCCTGGGGAAGGGGAGCCACCCGGGGGGAGGGGTGCTCTGGGAGGCGAGGAGGGAGCCCTCCCGGGGACACTCCGCGGTCAGCTTCCATCGAGGACGGACAGCAGCGGGACGGAGCAGTGGCAGCCATGGTCGCCACTGCAGCCGAGTGCTTCTCCGAGTACCCAGCAGTCCCTCAGGTCAGTCAGCCAAAGGAGCGTCACTGCATCACCAGATCGCTGTTGAATAATTAAATCAACTTATCGGTCTTTATCACAAGTTCTTAATATTCCGTTGCATAACCCTGTCACGAACCTATGTTTCATTTAGCATTAGTGGCTGATGTATGCAGTGCTTGACTAAAATTTACATGTACCCATAGGAACTGCAATTGCTAGGTACCTATAGTGTAAATTGAAGAGGAAAAAAGCGCAAATGCACACAAGCTTCATGCATTTTGTTCATTGCCAATAGTTTTCAGTATTTTGGTAACGTTGGCCTTTTTATAAAATGTTTAGTTAATTGTGGGGTATTTCCTACATATCAAGCTTTCATTGTTCCTCGTATTGCTACTTTTCGTATTAAAAGGTTTTTAAAATAAATTACAGACACAGTATGTATTCAAATAAATCTAATCACATTCCGTGAACCGTTGTTAACTATAGTCAGTACGCAGCGTATCCTGAATTCAAAAATTTTGGTTAATTATTAGACGTAACTTGCATTTAGTAATAATGAAACAAGCACCCTTACAAATCAGTATATATTTTTTTGCCCTGTTTTTTTTTTTTTTATCTACAATCGGACATACCTCAGACATGAATGAGGTAACACATCCATTTTCTCATCCATGCCTCAGATATAGGTACTTGATGGAGTTAGGCATGCTAGAAAAATAAAATGAAGCAATGGCCTTTCATGAAACGTTGGGCTTAACTCGCTATAAGAACGTAAATCGTGAGTCGGTGGTAATTGAAACGTTCCTTGTTTTAAATGGTTAATTCGTCAGCCACTAAATCCTAAGACGTTAAATCGTTAGGTCGTTCAATTTTGCGACATATGGGTGCTTGAGCATAACGATCAAATGACGAACGATTTACGATTAATAAATTAAGAAACGATAAAAGAAGTGTTATTGCTGCATTGACTTTTCTAGCCTTAGATAGATATTCCTTTTAGTTTTTGAGCAGATGGTAAGTTTTCCTCTAACCTACCTAAAGAAAAAACTGATATTCATTAATCAATCTGTTTTTGCTTTTAAATAGCTATTTTTATGCATACCTATAGATAGAGTTGATATACATGCCCTATATTTAACTATTATAATTTTTTTACCTTATTTTTCAACCTTTTCAACGTTAAAAGTTATAATCATCGCTTTTCTGTGGCTTTTTTCTTCTTTTACACATTTTTGCTTATATAGCCAATTTAGGACCTTGGACCTATTGAGATTAGGTCCAAGAACTCGATGGCGACCTCATATCAGTTGTCCGTCCAGTATTCTGGCCTCATTTTGTAGTGCCCATGCTTCTAAAGCGTGAGAACATCGCTCTGCAAACTGAAAACTGTGTCAGACTATCTGTGCCGAAATACCAATGTGATCATTCACTTGACCCACGCGCGGTGCTAAAAGTGATCGACTTTCTGACGAAAAACGTAGATACCCATCGGCCGCCTCTCACCGTCTGGCCTAAAAACTGCCTCTCTGGCCTTCTGTCTCATTACGTCTGTGCCAGGAAAGTCGAGTAGTTGTTCGCACCAACTTTAAAGAACACGAGATATTCTCACAAAACACTAGGAAGACGCATAATGGGATGAAAGCTCGTAACTAAATCGAAGTGGAATCCAACTCGAGGCTAATTTCATGAGCATTGAGCATATCACCGTGAACGTAGCCTTCAACTTGAAATCAATGAGCCATTCACAAAACTTAACCCGCGCCCGACTGGGGTCTGCGCATAACGCGCCCGGCTACTGGGGGGGGGGGGGGGCTATCCCCCCTCTTAACTCCGAAACTACTGGGCCGATCGTCAAAATTCAAACGGCGTCTGATAGCCCCGGAAAAACTGTCGAGCGAGCGAAAATTAATTTCATTGACCTCGAGGTCACCGATGACGTCACAGGTCAGGTTCAGGTAAAAATTATCGATAATTGGCTTGTTCACATTTTGGGCTCTGGCCGCCGTCTTACAAGTCAGATCGGGCTCATTTTTTGTTTACACACTCGTGAATAGATGCTTGAGATACCCTAAGGGTACCAAAATTGTACTTTGATTTTCAGGTCAGGGTCAGGTCATCACAGGTCACGCCTCAAGGAAATCTTATGTCATGCCATGCATCGGTCACGTGACACAT